TCAACACTTAGTTTGCTCACTTTTTAATTTTTACCTTGTTTAAAGATACAGAATCGACTCCCAGGCCTAAAATGACATAAGCTGCATAAACATAACATGTGGCCGCTGAACCAATAAGCATCCAACATAATGACGCCATATTGATTTACAATATTCATAAGGATGCCAACTCCCGTAAAGATGTCAGTCTTTAATAGTATCTCGTCGGTGGTTATACCAATTTTACATGAAAAATGCTCCATTCTTTATGCAGTTTTATTCACAATTTATGTAAATTTACTTTCTGTTACTGTCAGAGCATGATGTCAAAGAATAACATCTCTATTTTTAGGTTATGTGTGTTCGGTTGTGCGTGCGTAAGTGTATATGAGTGCTTTCCAAGTGTCGTTCTATCCTTGTTGACATTCAGAGAGTGACAAAGATAGAACGACATTTGTGTCATCAAATAGAAAGCATCCAATGAAGAGTCTTGCGAACGCCGCCTCACCGATATCAATTCAGGTCGAGCACCACCAATATCAATTCAGAAACCTGATTTTGACCACTTTTCAAACCTTAGTTCGGTCTCCTTATGGCTCCGGCACACCAGCGCGATGTTAATCGCGCGTGACACGCGATATCCAATGATAGTACACCTTTAGAATGAGAATATCGGTAAAGCTGTATACTCATTGGATATCGCGCAACGAACATCGCGCTGTATCGGAGGCATTACACCCGTATTTTATAATCAGGTCTTCTATTTAAGACTTCCTTAAATTTATTTTTAGATACGAATTATTTCATTGGCTACTGAGCATTTAAAGATAAATTTAAGGAAGCCTTAAGTACAAGATTTGACTATGAAGACGGGTATTAGTCTCTATCCTCCGTGGCAAAAATTATTCATATGCTCAAGAATAGGGCCCTTGATTGCAACCAATAGAAAGTTACTAGTAAATACCCGTATCAAATGTATGATGTAAACTGGGCTAAAGAATTTGACCAAATCTGACATCTCTACTAGATGCTGCTGGGTTAGCGAGTTCTGCATAGAGCAGTGTAGTATATTCGTCTAATTCGTTTTATTGAGGAACTGCAGGGATCTTCCCGCTAAACGCTACAATCATGAAGATGCAAGGATTAAGTTTTACGAGCATGAAGAAGCATCCAGCTGTGAGCACGCCAGTTCACTCACAGTTTATTCTACGTTGCGGAATGTTGCGATACTCCACTCAATATCCTTTTCTTTTTTCAGCTGCTTCCATTGTATTTTTGCGTAGGCCTAGGAGGCCTAGGTGCGGCGTTTTATATATTACGTCTAGCATCACGTTGCCCTGATGTTTCCTGGCTAAACAAAAAGGAGTCTGAACCATGGAATGTCTATACAGCTAAGCAATATAAGGTGCCGAGAATGATAATTACTATTTCACCACTCCAAACTTATTTTGGATGATCAGAATTCAGGATGTGAGTCTATTTACTATTTTGTCCTGTCTCTGGGATCTATAAAAAAATGTTTGAAAAATCACATATATACATGTATATATAAATATATATATATATGCACAGTATAAAATTGTATACAAAATTCCATCCTGAAAGGCGATCGTCTAAAGTGAGTTGAAAATAACTCCAAATGTGTATCGATTGCTCGAAAGGCAGCTTCTGTATGTGCTCATATTTGTTACAGTTCTATACAACAAAAGGAGAAACCAGCGATTCGAAGAGCCCAGCGCCAGAATATTGAACTGTAATATGTAAACTAGTAATTGTTATAGGAATAAATTGTTATATAAATTATTATCTTTAAGAATTTTCATCTCTGAACAATATTATTCTTGTGAACTAAACAACAGGTATAACAGTCTCAAATTATTTTCAGAAGGAATATCTTCAATATTATTGAACGTACATACATTACATTTTAATTTTTTTTTTTTGTTTGAGAGAAAGTTTGATATTTAATAAAGTCCGTGTCGCCTGTAAGCGATGCTGATACAGGAAATGCATTCTTTTCTTTTCCTCCACTAGTATAGTATTATTAAACCAACAACCTCCTATATGATGAAAGTTTTAACCTTATTTTAAAGGTATACACAAACAAATTCAATGGGAATAATAATGAAGCAGTAACTTTTTTGTTTATCAAGTATTCCTTCCAGAAATCTAATTTAATATTAAAAGATATATAGTGATTAATTATTTATTTTGAATATTAAAAACACTGTTGTTCAGTGCTTAATAAAGAACTAATTATTTTCTTTCAGCATGTTAAATTTCTACAAGGGATGTAAATACAGTATATCGCGAACAATATTTCGTGTTTTTATTTATATATATACCGAAAAGAAATATTCAGGCAGATTCATCGTGTCTGGAAGACTCGAGCTCTCCTTTTCGCAAGAAAGAATTCTCGGAGAAGTGTGATATCTTAAGTCACGTGAATAATTATTATATAAGAATATACAACGGTTTATTTCGAATTTCTTACGCAACTGTTACTTGCAAAATACTGATCGACAATCGAAGTTAAACTGATCCTTTTTAGGGAAAATATACGTCGAGGTTAGTAACCACTTTTCATTTTCTTTCTGCTTCCGCCAATTCGATGTTCTTATTTATGGATCGCAACTCGTATTTGTTACAATTTGTTAGCGTGAAGTTATCACAAAGACGGATACTGTACAAATATCGCTAATACATAATACGTAATAATATATTACATAATATGTATAAATATATTTATATAATATATAAAACTTTAATAAGTTTTTATTATATAAGCTCTGAAAAATATATATATCTCATTTGCTATAACGACATAACTAAAAAATTGTCATTTTGGAGTCGCTTACAGAAAAGGAATGAAAACATTTAAAAAAAAGACTTTCATTCCTCTCTATGATCAATCGAAATTAAATTTCAAAATATTACAAAATTTTAATGATTTAAACTTATTTTTCTGGAAAACTCTGTCTTTTTATAGTTGTATCGTTGCGAATGACATGTATTGAGCATCTCCGTAATGTCATGTTTCATCGTCTTTGTCCTCATGCAGCAGCTCTTTCTAGTCGCAGCTATTCACGATGGTCTCAACATGGGAGGATTTCTATGCGAAGCATTCACCCCCTCAAGACTTGGCACAAAATGAACAGGCGTTGAAGGAATTCACCAGGAAGCATCTTGAGGCTGGTAATAAAGTGGTATTGGTGACGGTGAGTCCCAAGATTTGACAGCTGATTTGAGATGATTTTGCTACGACGTTCTAACTGAAATCGTGATGTTTACTTGCAGAGTGGTGGTACGACAGTACCCTTGGAACACAATACAGTGAGATTTGTAGACAATTTCAGTGCGGGTACAAGAGGCTCAGTTTCAGCGGAATACTTTTTGGAGTATGGATATGCAGTTATTTTTATGTATAGGTAATAATACTTGTATAGTTCATAGCAGAGTCAGAAGTAGACTTTTAGGTGATTGAAATAAAAGAAAAACGCCTCTTAATGACGAAAAAATATTTCTTTTACAATATGTAATAAAAAAATAATAATAGATGACAAATAAAATATGATAAACATACAAATTATATATGTATGTTACAAACGAACGAAATATATAGTTATAACAATAAAGTTAGAATGTATATAATATATTTTCTATATTTATATAAATAATATTAATTCCTAGAAATTCATAGGAAATGTATTGTTTCAGTTAAAGTAATACTTTTCACTTTGATAATTACGAAATTGTAAATTACATATTTCATCAAAATTTTTATTGTTACATATTTCATTTGATCTATTGCATAGCAAATGCTGAACGGCAGATGATTATAATCACCGTTAGTAACGACTAAATTAAAATTATATAGAAATTTCTATTATTCTGAATATCTATGGCTGCTGCGATCTGCTTGCCAAGCATTAGCACCTCTAGAGAACAAAGCTATATTATATTTAGCAGCAGCGGTCTCGGATTTTTACATTCCTTCCAATGAGATGGTAGATATGTCATTCACACAAAACTTTCATATTTATGAAATATATATTCTGTTATTTTATTACTATATATAGATTTCTAAGATCATTTTTATACTGCTTCAAATTTTTTGTATGTAGTACATACAGGATGTATAAATTTTTTTTTTTTACATTTTCAGAGTTAAATCTTTAGAACCATTCTCGAGACACTTTATAGGTCAGAAGTTTTTAGACCTGCTTCAAATATCAGACAATAATGAGAATCCTGTTATCACAGGTGAATTATAGAGAATAATTAACCATAATCTTTAGAATCAGTCCACATTAATCAATGTTATTATTATACTTTTTTTGCAGTACTGCCAGAACATACGCAGAAGGTAGCAACAGTACTGCGAAAATACAGAGAGGCATTTAATAAAAAAAAATTATTGCAACTTACTTTTACAACTTTCTCTGAATATCTATGGCTGCTGCGATCTGCTTGCCAAGCATTAGCACCTCTAGAGAACAAAGCTATATTATATTTAGCAGCAGCGGTCTCGGATTTTTACATTCCTTCCAATGAGATGGTAGATATGTCATTCACACATAAAACTTTCACATTTATGAAATATATATTCTATTATTTTATTACTATATATAGATTTCTAAGATCATTTTTAGATGAAAATCCTAATATCAGAACATCGAGGCTATAATAGTTTTTGAATTATAAGCATTTAAAGTTAGCGTATCATATCGCCTAAAGCATGATTGGCATTCACCTACTACATCTGAACGCGTGAACTGTAGGTGACATGATTTGCTAACTTTAAGTGCTTATAATTCAATTATATTGTATTTAATTATACCTTGATATTCTAATATTAGGATTTTCAAATGATCTCAGAAATCTATCCATAAGCGGTCATGATCTCTACCGGACATATTGTATATACAATAAAATTTGTTTCAGTCAATCCATAAGATTTCCTCGAGTGGGCCACCAACTATATCTCTTCAATTAGTGCCAAAGATTTTAGCTCCGTTAGTCAGTTTATGGGTACCAAAAGCATTTGTAGTTTCATTTAAATTAGAAACCGATGAAAGCTTGCTGATTTCTAAAGCGAGGACTGCCCTTAATAAATATCATCACAACGTAAGTAATTATTATTGTAATGATATCGAGTTTTCTGTAAGATAATTCTAAATTTTGAATGTCTTTTAGCTTGTAATAGCCAACATGTTGCAAACTAGAAAGCAACAAGTGATTATTGTAAGCAAGGAAACCAATTACGTTTTGTCTCTTACAAACGAACAATTAGATAATGGTGAAGAAATTGAACAATTAATTGTAAGAGATCTCATTGAAAAGCATATAAAGTAACTATGTGGTCCAAAAAAGTTAGTTGATAAATCTGTTTCAAATTATACAAAATATATTTTTAATTTTATATATAAAATATGCATTTTAAAAGTAAATAATATATTATAATGGTGGTAATGGGAAAGAGATACTC